CTGGGCAACACCCGTAACAACATGCTTTAACTCTTGATCAGCCCTGAAGTGGTCAGGCCGTTGGGCTAGGTGATCATTGTAGGTCCCTTCCAACTGAAAACCATTCCATTCCAAATTTATTTGGTGCAATTTTGTGGCCACTGCCGTAGCCTAAAAAGTCTATGGAAAATCTTGTCCAACAGAAGTCCAGTTTAATAAGTAATTAATGATTAATGTGCTTTTATAGTCACACTCAAACAAGTCTGTCCCAGCACACTACAAATACTGAATATCATCAGTTCCTTAAAAAGGGTAATTGTATTATTATCACAAATTTACAGGATGAAGAGGTTGAGAATGCAGCTCTGCCACAAGCTACATGGAACAACACAAGAGAACGTCAGCTCTGAATAACTTGGAAAAAAAGCTTCCCTCACACTATTAAGAGCAGATTCGGGACCAGCATACACAAAATTTGTCTGAGGGCACACCATCATCCAAGAAAAGGGCCAGGAATGGGATTCAGCTTTGCAGAGTGCAGGTTTTACCACTGCCACAGTCTCCAGACAGAGCACTCACAACCACAGCAAAGGTTTTGTTTAAGGGCATTTCTAACTAAAAGAAATATGCATTTTTTATCACCTTCATAAATCTTTGAAAATTCTGCACTGCTAATTCCTGTTGCCAGAATCAACAAATGTAAACCACAGGAAACAAAACTGCAGAAAATGCCTCATTTCTGTTGATACACTCCAGGACTAATGACACTGTAATTTGTTTACTTCTATTACTGTTAGTACTACAATGTAACTTGAAAACCCAATCAAGATTAGGACGCCATTACATTAGGCATGAAGAAGGAGGCAGTTCACATCCCAGATTGCTTGCAATCTATCTACATGAGGCAGACAAACTACAACTATCATTTTGCAGATGGAAAACAGAAGGAGTAAGCAGATTGCCAAAGGCTTTCAGAAGCTTGCTCAATGAAATCTCTGACAAAAACATGACATAAACCATTGCTGCTGGAAATACATTTCGGTGCCAATGCACTACCTTATCTATTAATCCCATTACTTTAATATTGCATCAGGTAACTTTTGAGACACAACATAGATGCTGTTTAAGAAGAAGAAATTATTACATTTGTTGAATTTCGTAGCAAAGGTAAAACATATGGGAATCCGACCACATTCTTACATCACATACTAAGATCGGGACTCTGTTTCATGTTCTGTCACAGTCCTCCTATCTAATCTTCTGCAATGATCTTGAGCATCTATTTGTGTACTTAACTCAGGCTGTGCAAAGCTGAAAAATTAGCAAGTCATTTACAGTACCAAAGTTAGGTACTAAGGCATTTTATGTAGTCAGAAGGGCAATTAGGTACTTCTGAAGGGTAATCAAAAAATCCTGCTCTAATTGTAAAGCAGCCAAGAACTACTCCTTAGGGGGAAAAAAACAAACAAACAAACACCCCCCCCCCCCCCCAAAAAAAAAAAAAAACATGAAGAAAAAGATTTGCTTAAACTAAGAGGTTCCTTCTAAACTGTTCCCTAGTGAGGTTGCACCTTAACTCCTCCTGCCAATGGAACTTAGGTCTGTCCATTAAGGCACCACAATGCATTTGGGGATCAGACCACAAAGTCTGCTCCTGAGATTATGCATCTAGTCAAAGAAGGAGAGAAAGAGGCAAAGCTGCCACATATAACGGCCTAATAGCTGGGGCACTGACAGCAAAAGTGTAAAACTTGATCACAGTTCTCCTTCATCTTGAGGAGATTCCAGTTCTCACTTCCCACTTCTCTGGAATGTGGAGTCAGCAGACTAGAGACTACCCTGCTGAATCCATACCTTGGCGATGCATGAATCATAAGCTTCTGGAGCATGAGCAGACAGGACTGGCAAACATCTAGGGTACCAGCCTTGGTCCTCTCTGGAGTTTTTCCAGCATGGAGTGCCAGGCCAACTCATGTAGATAGCTTGCTCCTGAAAACCAAAGACGATTCAGAAGCAAGCTACAGGCCTTTTACTTCTGTAGTGCCAGCATTCCCCTCCCATTCATGCTTGTTGCCATCAATCCCCATCACATGGTAAATGCACATCTATGAGACTCCTGGAGAGGGAAGGCAAGACGAGGTAGCAAGACAAAACAGAGCCCACAGCCCACTCCTCATTTGAGTGTCCTTCAAAATTTGTAACTTGCTCTGGCAGAAGCCAGCCCCTTCTAGTCTCCTCCTCCTAACACATGAATAATTAGTGGACACACAATGTTTTCTTCTATGCATGCACAAGAATCCCAGCCCTCAGGGAATCATGGAACCAACCATGTTTGTGCTAAGGAGCTGTATCACCACATAGTGTGTGTGTGTGTGAGTGGAAGGGCTGCTGCAAGAAGTTACATGGCCCACCAAGCTGTCAAGACTAGGCACCACCACCTGGGAAAATCATTGGATTAAAAAAAAAAAAAAGTACAAAATTAATCCCTGAAGACAGGGACTAGGATACAACTCCTTCAATATTTCTGCATTAGTGCCTGAGCCAAGTACTCACCTTCTTGCCTGCTCCTTTTCTTGCCCATGGCTCTTGCATTCTTCACTGATGAATGCCTCGGGCTAAACTGGGGGGAGCAGGAAATTTCAGCTTCCTCCTCTCCAAGAATGGAATGGTCGCAGTTAAGGATGTGGCAGAGCTATGACCCTCTTCTGTTGGAAAAGGCAACTGAGCATAGGTTTGCCACGTCCGAAACAACTGTTCAGTTATTATACATAAAGTGGGCTCCCACGGGCCGTGTTTTTGACTGAAAGCAGCTGTCTCTGCTGTGCTTGATGCTGGATTCAGAGCTGTGCTCAGAGCACTCCAGTGAGGTCAGGGTCCTCTCGGGATCCAAATGATGTCTAGATCTTGGTGGAGTCCAGTCAGTGCATGGTTCCCTCACTTCCCAGACTACAACGCCTCCCTACAGGTATCTGTGCCTAGTTCCAGAGTGACCCATAGGCTGAACATGGAGACAACTTGTGAGCTTTACATTATCCCAATATTAAGCAGCTCTGGAAAGCAGGATTTCTGGATAATTTCCTTGCGCATAGGTGTCTTAATTTTTCCTAACTCTCATTTTAGATGACATGATAGATGTTCTGGCTATCTCTGCGGGCATCTCTGTAGCTTAGCTACCCACTTCCTAAAGCAGGACTCCCAGGAGTGTGGTGAGGATAAGCATCGAGTAGAGTGAGGTCTAATGAGATCATGTAAATAAGACAGAGACCGTTTCAAGATGAATCCCAGGCACATCTAGAATTGCATCAGTATAAAAAGAAGTTATATTGTATTCAGATAAACCAGTTTTAAATTAAAACTTGACATTCATATGTCATCTTTCCTACATGCTTTACAGACCACTAGAGGAAAACACTTTATCCACTTACCAAAGGCTCCCTTTAAAAATATGACCACCAAAGACTGCTTAGACATTGCAAGAGTGCTGGTACTGAGACTATAAGCTTTTTCTGATATATGTTCTAATCTGGGAATTAGAGGGGTTGCATAGCACCAATAGCAAGTTTACGCTGGAGACTGATTTAATGAGTTTTCATAAAGTCTTTTATGTCAAAGCCAGCTTATGATAGCCTCATCTAAGATGGTATCTAAATAAAAGTGTGCAGCATCTTGTTATCTTTCCACATTTACTGTTCACACTCTCTCTGAAATTATCCAGCAAAATTGTGCTTTGTGGGATCCACCGGCCTCAGTTTCTTTTGCCTATTTCAGTTCTGACATTTAAATTTAACTCAAACTAACTGGGAGTGGGAGGTGACAATTTTATTTCATAAAAACTTTTGAAGTTTGGACCGGAACAGAAACATATCTTTCAGCATCTTCACAAAAATAGTTTGAAAACATTTATTTTCAGATCTAAGTTACAGAGGAACGTCTGTAAGAGCTGAGACTGGCATGGGAGACCCATGTGTTTAACAACTTCTAATTCAAACTAGAAATCCTCATCAGATCAAAATACTCTGAATATACAAATGTATAGGAGCTTAAACCAGACATCCTATATCCCAAGCCAGTGCACTGACTCCCATATAACCTCCTGAAGAGTGATATTATTTAAACTATATCAAAAAGCTTCTTGAAAACACAAACAGGTTTACTTCATTAGTTATATTTACTGGAAAATGCTCTCCACCTTGCTCCAGCTGTAAGCTATAGAAGCGAGTACAAAACGGAAAGAAAGCAACAGTTACCACTGAGAACTTCCCTATAACACCAAACGCTAGAGGAAAACATTACCTCATAGATCTAGGCCCAGATCAGTAGCTGTCATCCCCACATCACCTATGTTTTGCCTTCTTAAGGAAAAGACCACATAAAATGACAGCTCTTGATGTGAACTTCCCAGCTGGGGACTTGGACTGCAGAGGTCTTTGCATTCTTTTGACAATTTACATAACTGTATACAAAACATAATGTTACAAACAGATTTAAAGGACATTTTCCCACTGCGCAAAGGTGCAGCATAAACAGCTCCATTAACTAACTCACCACTTAAGATTCACACAAGTCCATAAAGCAGGTGTAAAATAGACCTTGTATTGATTTCTTCAATCTGGAATGAATTTTACTGCCAATACTCAGACACATGCTTTTAAAATATATACAATAATTAATTATCTGTATCAAGATCAGAGGCTGGAAAAATACGAACCCAGCAGTTTCACCGTTTCATGCTTGATTTCATTAGCTAGTATAATGGCTTAAAGAATCAGGTCCACACTTTCATCTGTTAACCTCTCACCATTGAATGCTACACTTGGCAAATCTACTAGCAGGCACATCTAGATCGTGCATCTAGAACTGCTAGCTGGAAGTGAAATATATGGGAAACACAGTAAAATATAATCAAATGGATTATGAGTGACAGAACAAAGCAAAAAATACAACAAGCACATTTGAAATGGCGAATCAGTCTTGAATGCAAGGCAGTTGGTATCAAAAGAATATTCAGAACATGCCTTTACCTGTGTAGTGCACCACACACGTCTGACCCTTCTTTGGAAACGTCCGTCCTGTTAAAATTATAAAAGGTTATTCTTTTATTTTTTTTCTGATTAATCTGTGTGGCTACGAAGGTTTATCTTTCAAGAGGAAAATGCCAGACTGAGATTTGTATTGACTATGCTTTATTGAATCACTAATATGCAAGACAGCAATGGGTATGGTTTAGGGTAGAAGGTCCCAGCTTGGCTCCTATTTAGTTGTTAGACCAAATAATATTTTCCTTATCTAATTTTCCCTATATATGTGGGCATCATATATGAATTTACATTCTCTAAGTGCAAAAGGACTGCCAAAACTTCATGGATTGTAACCTTAAAATTCCCAGAATATTTTTGTTAAAATTTTTCAAACAAAGTCTTAGTTTGACATTGTGAAAAAATACATTTCTAATGCCTTTCACTCAAGACAGCTCTAATTAGCCGGGAAGGATTTTAAAAAAAAAATTTACATACAAAGGCACTTTAATTTTGTAGCATTGGGCAACAGTAAAGCAGTAATACACTAAATTCTAGTAAGAGCCTCCTAAAATTTTCATTCTGAAAGGAAAGCTTAAATTATTTTCTTGCCACTGGAAAACGAAATTACCATTTTCATTTTACCTGTTCTAGGTACTGCCAAAGGCACTAAAAGCTAGGGGAAGATTTTCCAGGCTCAATTAGGTGCCAATGGCATATTAAAACAGCTAACCTTGATTTCTCAAGTAATGTTGGCCAGGGGAGGGCTCAGGCTCAGAAGAACTTAAAAGTATGAATGAGACCAATCATTAAAGAACATCCTTGCCAGAAAGCTAGAAACTGGGGATTTAGATAGAAACTGAGGCTCACATCTTAGCTGGCTCTCTGGCTTCTTTAGTCTGAATTAACATGATAATTTACGCATTACAGGGTGCAGCAGAGGGTATAAAACATCAAGTAACACATAAGCTATGTACTTAGGGCTTATATGCCAAAACCACCCTGAGCAGTAAATGGCAGGAGGGCAGGCTAATACGATGAACCAAGATTTATAACATGAAATTGAAAAGATGGTGCTTCCAAGCATCTTCTGAGCAGCCTTGTTCATCAGCTTGCATTTGGCTGCAATATCTCTAGCTGTGGGTTGCACAAAGCGCAGTACAATAGGTATCCAGCCAGGGTGCCACTGGAACCCTGAAGTGGGTCTCATCTCATTTAACTTTAGCCATCTAAAACACAGGCAACTATCGCATGCCAGTCTCCTGGGCTTCCCCTATTGACAGTGGAGAATTAGCAGTGCTGTGAGAGAAACCCAGCTGATCCTGAGAGAGGTGAGATGAATTATTCTCTGGAGATGACTACAGAAAAAAACACCTAGAAGACTGCTTTAGACTAGACACCTAACCTGAGAAAAGTTATGCGAGATGAATCCTACACTTGTAAAATAGGTATTGTTCAAATGAGGCACTATTATACAGAAATCTGAGAAAAGGACTATCAGACCTTACTGACACATACTCTGCTGTGTGAGGATAACGCCAACAAAGTCAATGAAGCTACATAAATCCACATCAAAGCTGAATTAAAAGCAGAGATTCTCAAGACCACTGACTAACTGTGGTTTTAAGACAGTATTTAAAGACAGCTGATTTTGATTAAGACTTGCAACTAAGAGAACTAATCCATATAACCTTATTTGGAATAGCATATTGCTTACAAAGACAGCCTTGATATATTTAATAGCTAGGAAGTACTATTACGAGGTTAAGTTCCACCCTTGTTTCTACTCTCAACCCAGCAACGTTACTTACACCCACATAAGCATTTTGCTTTTACATCTGTGCAACCAAGAGAAGAATTTGGTCCCCAGAGCTCAACAGCACAGAGGGAGAAGCCAATTTGAAAGCTTACACAAAGAAAGGAAAGAAGGCCAAGAAAGTTAAGCTGAGATCGACTTGAACAAATGATTTACTGTTGTGTATCAGCCAAGGATGAATCTGGCCCATTGTACAGATACATAAGGCTGTATGTTAGAAAAGGAGTCCTCTTATAAATAAAAAAATAACCAAAACCCCAATGAAATGGTATTACAATGCCACAGAGGAGCAGAACACAAGGAACTAGCCCTGGAAAGGAGCGCCTGCGCCAGGCAGAGGTTATCGCCAGCCGGGCTGCACCTCAGCACCCGCCAGCATCACAGGTTGAACCGGGA